ACTGCCAAAGGCAGGGTCTGTCTAATTAATGTTTTCCTTCTCATCTGCTGAATTTATATAGCCATTAAGATAAATATGGATGCTTTGTGGCATTTAGACCCCAGATTATACTTTCTCACACACAACCACTAGGGAGACTTTTGCTGCATCTTATTACGGCATGAAGGCACCAAAATGCTTCAGCAGGGTAAGTCAGTCGGAGTCGTGCCAAGTTGTTATGGCCCAGACAGTCTCTCTTCAGACAGATTTTGAAGATAAACTTTATTCCCAAATAAAGCTTTCAGCTGGAAGGTTGGTTTTTTCCCCTGTTTCCCTGCAGTAGAAGGAATTCAAAGGGATGCTGTCATCTAGTTTTCACCCAGGATCTGATCTCCTTTGAAATGGTTATGAGCTGGTAAAGAATTTTCTCTGGATTTAACTCTCTTCAAATAAAGCCCTTGTTTTTACTGTTTTTCTGAACGTGCATACACAACAACAGCGAGATTTGGGTACTCCTCTTCCCCTACAACCCCTAGAAATGCTAGGCAACATCCAACAGTTCTGAAATGCTGCAAATTTAAAAGAGAACAGACTTTAAACAGAGTGCAGTTGAACTGTATAAATCACTGCTACATTACTGCAGCCAGGATCTGGGAAGGGTTCAGAAGAGGATCAGCCACTCAGATGGAGAATAACAACATCAAGTGCACAGCACAGAGAGAGCTGAGTTTGTAAAATACCTATATGTCAGGGGAGATGCCAAGTGCTGAGTACCTGGAGTGAAAAAGGCTTTTTTTTTTTCTTCCTTTAAGGAAAGAAACAAAACAAGCCAGGCTATTCTGTATTCTGCAGCTGTGTAACAGCTGTTTGGTCTCCCTCCTACTGAAGAATGTGGTTTGGGGTATTGTCAGGTAAAGCATTAACGGCTCAAATTCGTCAACTCTAAGAGCTCGTGGTAGAGTAGATGGAGAAGTTGCTGCCCGTAGTCCTGTGCGTGCTCTGAGGTGAAGGCTGGGATGCAGGCGGCATCTCCCACTGCCTAGCCTGGAGAAGCAAGGCACCTGCATGCTGTGTCTCAAAGGAGGAGGAGGAAAGAAAAACAAATTCTGTCCTACCTTTCGACATGAGGTCTAGCTCTGGGCACTGGCGTTCACATCTGGGAAGCTCACCAGTCAGCAGGGAGCAATCCTTCCGAAGGTTCTCTGCACATGGCTTTGTAGCGGAAGAGAAGAGGCTGTCTATTAAATTCCAGAAATCCCAACGGTGATGTTGCTGATGCCTAGAAGAAAGAGAAAAATGTCTTTGCCATCAACAAGTACTGCTCGAACGTTGAAGCGAACAGGAGAGTCTGGGCTCGAGCACAATGCTGGCTGCACCACGTCAAACGCGTCAGCTCCTCTCTTCTCTGTGTAACTCTGACTTCGAGGTGCCGGCTAATCTTGCTAGTCTCGAGTGCCGAAGCCAGAACGTAATGATGGCGACCATGATGTTAAAAGAGTTTGATTTTGCTTTTATTCATGTGGCTTCTCTGGCCACCTTCTGAGGTTTTCCTCAGGATTCTGATGAAGCCAGCGTTCGGGCTTGCTTCCAGTCAGGCTGCCTGATGTCCGTGTACCTTGGCCCGGATATTTGATAGCTACGGAATGGGCTGGGGCTGTTAGCTCTGCTCAGCTGGTTACGAGGGGATGCAAACCACAAATGACTGCTCCGGCTCCTCGTTTGTCTCCCCGAGCACCGTGCCCTGGCAGCCTGCGGCCACTGCCCAGCGTGTCGTTCGGGCGCGAGGCAGCTGCCTGTCATCAGGCACCGAATGACACCGAACGACACCGAACGACACCACGCGTCTGCTCCCGGGCTGCTCCTCTGTGCTCGGCAGTTGGGAAAACACAGCGCAGGGTTTATGGGAGACCAAGGCCAGGTTGCTTCTGCTCCTACAAAAGCGGGCGGGCTAACCCCCCCATTTTTTACATCCATGGGAGCAGGACCCAGATCAAAAAAATATTCTCTTGATAACTAAAAGCCTACTTTCCACATACTTGAATTTACAGCACAGTTGGACTATTTCGGGGGACTAAAGGCACTTTAACTGTCTTTTAATGCAATGTATTTACTATGGATTATCTGCATGGAATACAGTCTTAATATTAAAAAAAAAAATCTTCCTTTTGGACTGCTTTGTTTTCAGAATAAAACATGCAAAGGATTATTGGTCATGTTATGTGAACGTCTAAGCAGGATGGGAATTATTTCCATCTTGTATTCTTTTAATTGACGCTGTAAGAATACAAGCATTTTTTTTTTGAAGCCATCCTTTTCTGTCTCAGTAATAACACATCATTATCAGGAGGTCTTCCCAGGACATATCTAGGATAAGAACTAATGTAATTGAGGTTTGAATCACGACTATAGTTTTTCTCTAATTTTATTCTGCTCAGCTTGCTTAGATGTTTTTGGGGTTTTTTTCAAGTTTCTAAGCTCGAACAATGACGTTTGCTTGGCCTGTCTGACTTTTTTACAGGAGTCAGGTTTAGTGTTTTGATCTCTGAAATGATTTAAAACATGTAAATCACTTTAAAGGTCATTACCCGAGATGTCTAGGCAGCACCTCCAGGTTTAGGCTTCCTTCGCTCTCCTACGTTAAATGTATGAATGGATCGGCGTGATGCAGAAACTGCGAGGAGATGATGAGCTGTAGAAAGAGGCCCATCTTGCAATTAGCTACGGATATCAATAGATTAATTCCCATGGGAGCTTTGGTAACACTTGGACAACTACTACTACCTGTTACACCGTGAGTAGCTGATAAGGGCACAGGCAGAACATGGACTTGCCCGTCACCCCTGCCGTGCACTCACCTTGCGGCTGCTGTACCTGGCAGAGACACCCAAGGCAGCACGGAGACTGGAGTGGTTCAGTGCTGCTTCCCACCCTGCGAGAGGGAAGCACGGGCTCGTCAGACGCCGAGCTGGAAGGACGTCCGCAGAGGCAGGAGGGAGCTGTAGTGGAGGTACCGGCTTGCGGTCCGGGAGACTCAAGGCTCCGGTAGTAAAAGATCTCCCGGTATCGCCTCTGCCCGTCTGTGATACAGGAGCAATTACGCACCGTGTGGTGCCCGGGGCCATTTAAATTGTAAACCCCCCAGCCTGGGGCGCTTCGTAGCACGTTTGCGTACTCTTCCTCGCCTAGATTCTGCTCGAGGAGCTAAATGCCTAATTTTCTAAGCATAACTTTGTCCCTGCTGCCCTTCTGAAGTGAATGTCACCATATTTCGTACCTCCTTTCAATGGCCATGACCACGTTGCAATATTGGCAAAAGAAGTACTACATCAGCTTCTTCTCATTTTCCCTTTCACCCTCACAAGCCCCTC